TGCCTGCCCCTTTCAAAATGGGTTTGGTCAGCCTGGTGGCAGCTGCTCCTTTCCTGCTCGGCCCTGGGCAGCGAAGAGATGGTCTCTCATTTGCAGTCAAGTAATTCTTCAATGCCTTGGAGAGCCATCGTATCCATACCCAGATACGCAGGCAGTCCTTCTTTGGAAAAAACGGTAAGTAATTGTATAATCATTTCTATGGTGACAAAGAGTGAGAACATAACTTCAAGACATTTAGAATAATAATGTGCCTAAGCAAGTGCATATTTTAAAATGTGTTGCTTGCACATGGGAAGGTCCTAGGCAACTTCTGGCAGCCAGGAGAGACAGTCTTCCCTGAACCTCCTTCACAGCAGGCAGCTACTCAGTCTGAAAATTAATTTCAAGAAACAACTGACCACCGAGCAATTTTAGCAGTAGTTTTTGCTGAAACCTTTTGCGGTAAACAATGTTGTTAGCTGAGCGCGGAGTGACTGGACTTCAAAATTAAGAGCCAGGCTGAGAGGCAAGTACAGAAATGCCGGGCTGCCCCTGGAATACTGCAGCGTCCTTCGTTCAGAGGCACACGCGCCCCGGAATTCTCACACCAACTGCAGCACCTGGAAAAGCAAAACCAGGCAGTTTTTCTATGTGATACCCACTTAGGTTCATCTGCTTCCTTGAACTGTTTCTGAAAATGCAACTCTTGAAATACTTCCTGTAAGTCAGTTAAAAAACGGGCTTACAGACCTCTGACAAAGGATCTTAATAGTTTGTAAGCAGCAAACAAATGCTCTTGTTAACTTGGGTCTGAATATAAGATTTCCTTGGGAAATTCAGCTGATTAAATTAAAATTCAAACTGCAAGACAAGAGCAAAGATAGATAGATAGATAGATAGATAGATAGATAGATAGATAGATAGATTGATTCAGGGAAAGATGCACCAGGTTATTCTTAAAAGAGAATAGATAGACTGAATCTTGCCTCTTATAGGTACTGTACATGATCCTATACAAACTGCCTTTTCCCACTAATCTTGAGAGAAAAGACAGTATCATCAACAAACATTTTAATAGCTTCAGGAGATTTACATAGTGCATTATATGAAACATTATAGTCAACATAGAAATAGTCTTCTGTGCCTTTTGCATTGGCTTCATCATTTTTAGCTCAAGTCTTGACATAGTTGCCTTCTAATGTACACTTAAACAATGAATATAGGACAGATTTTAAACTCTAATATGCTTTTCATTATGTAAGACATTTTCTGTCTTTCAGATAGCTTGGACAATGTCACTAAACTTGTCAGATTCCCCTTCTGCTTCTCATAAACTAACAACAATACTGTTGAGTTAGGCTTCATACTCCTGCAGAGAAACATCCAAATCCATCCAGAAGATTGTTTACATTGACATCAGAGGGGATGGAAAACAAATTACGACATTTGTGTTTGTGTTAGGAGCCAGATACTGCCAGAACCATGGAAATCAGTGGCAACACTCCGATAGGATGCTAGCATTTATAAATCCATTTTTTATTTTTAAGCAGACCTAATTTGGGAACCTTGAAACAGTTTATTAGTCCCCTACTGTTTTGACTTCCATCTGTCCAAGTACTTCTGAAATGAGAAGGAGATTGTTGGGTAATAGCTGTTGAAGATAGACGTATATATATGTGGTAGATTCACTGGAAGAGGTTGAGAGAAAGATTTTCTTCACAGTTTCCCTCATATCCTTCAAAAACTTTGAAGTTTGTTATCTCCTTACTCCTTAGCAGCAATGCTTAGTCCTACACCGTGACCTGTCCTGGTTTCATTGGGAAACTTGCTCATGAATAGACAACGTAATCAGACCTGCTACATCTGAATTTCAAATGTATTGTTTCCCTATACATGACAAGCACCTATGGAGGTGAAAAGGGATTCATAAAAGACAGTGAAAGAGAAAAAAAAACTCAAACCTCTCAGTGTAAAAAAAAAAGGGTATTTTTAAAAATTGATGTTACGGAATCAGTGCGCAAGGAGAAAGAGAAGTATAATCTAAACTGGGTTCTCTATATTATTCTGCATTTCTTTGCTGGATTAATTTGTCATTTCCATTAACATGAAAGTTACCTTTAATACTGAAACATTTTTTTAAAAAAGGATGGTGTTTGTCAGAACTGCATACGCCCAAACAGCAGTATCAAATCCAGAACAATTCTCAAGAGCAGCCACCAACTGATGATGGAAAGTGGAGCATTTGGGAAGTGGTATCAAGTGTCCACTCCTGCTCCCACCCAAGGCAATGAGGAATTGGGGCCAAACTCTTTAAAGCATGGTAGTCTTACAAAAGAAGGACCAGGGAGAAAGCTAGCATGTGGAAATTCCTTACAGAATTGCTTGCATTCTGGGCAATTGAGGTATCCTTTTTCCAGTGAAATGTTTTTATCCCCACACTCATGTATGACTTTTTTTTTTCCATTTGAAGGTGGGACACCAAGCTCACAAGAAATTTCAATACACTGAACAGAGAATGCCTAAAATCTGAGGCATGACCCAGAGTCTCGTCAAGAGACAAAATAAAGTAGCTTTTCAGAGCCATTAACAAATGTCTCGCTGGTCTGGCATAGGCTTGTTGAACTCAACCTGCTGGTAAAGACTCAATAGTGGGTCTACCTGAAAACGGCATTAGAAGGGCTGGGTATGCAGGGAAATGAAAATGGTCTCTTTTAGAAACGGTTCACGACAGGACGTGCCAGTCTCCGGATTGCTACAAGGGTTTTGTACCGGGCAAAGAGAGTAATAAGAAACTAAAGAACTTTTGGCATTTCGACTTTATTGAAAAAGGGTACAAAGGAACCACCTCTGGATATTGTAAAACTCACAAATAAATTCTTTACAGCTGCACAAGGAAAGATAACAATGAGAGCCCGATATTTCATTCCTAGCACAGTAAAAAATCCTATTATAGCCAATGCAGTTATGGGTGCACCAGCTGTATTCTGGGAATTCTATATAACTCTTGTCTGTTTCTGAACCAAAACCCCCCAGGGCCAGCTCGCAAGATTAAAAAGTCCTCCTCTTTCATATACATGCCCTTCCGCATCCCTGTTCGTTTACCAATGTCTGGAATTAAGTAAGTTGTCATAATCAGACATGATGCCCTTCCAGGCCAGGGAGGAACTTCCCAAGAGCTGCCTCCCTACCCTGCACTCTTGTATATTAGCAGCAGCCATATAAAAACCGCAGCTCGTCCTTCCTTACTAAAATCTATACCTTGGGATGCACTAGTCAGACATATCTCCTGCTGCTGGAGGAATGTTTTGGTTTGGTTCTTCTTTTTTTATTCTATTTTTTTAAGTGCAGAAGAGAATGAAAAAAAAAAAAAAAAAAAGAAAAAAGGAAAAGGAAGAAATTAAAACATCTCTGCTTCTCCCGCCCACTTCTAAATCACCAGGGGAAAAAGGCTACCACAGATCAAGTAAGCACCATGAAGCTGAGGTATAAATTTTGACCCTGGGTATGGAAAACAATAGAAGAAAGATATTTTAAATAACACCCTTCACCTTAAATGCTTCTTGCTCAGATATCCTAGGAAACTGCCACGCCAGCCAGCCTACCAGCAGCAAGTATGTGGAGAACTCAACAGGAGAGAACAGATGGGAGAAGCCACTGTTTCTAATACAGCCCTAAGGCATCTCTGTTCCTTTGTTCGGGAATTCATTCGTAACCTTCCCTGGTCCAGCTGCTCAGACCAGGACTTGATTCTCCTCACAGGCCCACAGGACCGACCTTCCTTGGACAGAAGGACCACCTGGGGAGAAGGCAAGTGGCTTCAACCATGAGAACCACTCTGCCTGTCTAAAGAAACCTCTCATGGGCCAAAGCCCATAAAGTCAGAAGAGCGACACGGGAAGCATAACTCAAGAAACCAGCTGAAGAGTCATCAGCAAAGAATTTTATTCAAATATACCATTTTCTACCCAGAAATGGAGAAGTGGGAAACCTTTTGGAGCTCTCAGTTCAGTCCAGTCCAGTCCCATGACTTCTGTAGTCTCCCAACAGGCTCTCACATCCCTTTGTGTGCAAAGAGTTCCTTTGTGCTAGAAAGCCCCCAAAAGGGTTAACTTAGTTTGCCTTGGACCTAGCAGTCCCTGAAGACCCCTGCATTGGGGTTGTCCTCACTCATTCACCACACTGGATTTCCAGGAGTTGGCTTAAATGAGAAAGAATATCAGTAAGTGTCCTTAAATCTAAAAAAAGTTGTGATGTGCTAAAACTTCAGCAATTAACTTCCATTTCTTGCTCAACCTGTTTGAAAGTGAAGCCAGAACGGATCTAGAGGTGATCAGCAGTGCGAGGTGAATTATCCAGAAACCTTCCCAGATACATCATTAACCGATGGAAGTTAACGGCATCTTTGAAGACATCCACGCTGCACAGACAGTGCGGGTGTGGATATATTATATATATATATATACACCATATTACAGACACTGTGCTACTGTTTACTTCTATTAAAATTCAATCATCTTTTGTGTCTATTCATTTTCAATAAACGTTTAATACTTTTCTTCTTTTAGAAGCCAGAAGTGATTAGTTCCATGCCTCCCCCAGCATGGCAATGGCAGAGTATTTCATAAGTGTTTCAGAAGGAAAGCCTGCAGATTCACATCAAACTGCTTTCTGAGTTGAATAAGTAATTGCAGATACGTCAATTAGTCGGATTTTTCAATCTTGAATATTCATAAGTTAGTGTCAGATGATGCTCATGGAAGTCAAGCAACGGGATTTTGAAAAACTGTGCTCTGTTCTTGTTTTGTAGTTCATCCTGGACTTCCACAATTTCAGGATAGGGACCTCAGAGAAGAAAATGATGAAGCAGAAGTGCAGAGAAGAAAGGGGATAGAAAGGAGGAGAGTTTGTTCTTTCCATTAATATTAAACTGTCCATTTCCCAGCTGCAGGCTCATGAAAAGGAGACTTCTTGGTGATTACCCAGTAATTCAAACCTTACAAACCCACCTCAGAACACACAAAGACAAGGTAAAAAAGGATTTTTTTATTGCAGTTTCATGAAATCTGATCCACAGCAGAGCTTGAAGAATTCACTAAGCTTTTGAACACATATGCAGACTGGTATCAATTTCTTCTTTTATTTCTTCCTTACCAGATGAACAATATATATGAACAATATCACGTGCGTGTGTATGTGTGCGCGCGTGTGTGTAAACATGAGTAGCTTTCATAAATGGAAATGCCAAAGAATATAAGTAATAGTCTGGTTTCTATAAAAGGCTCTGTCTCACAAAACAATCTGCTGTGCAAACCCCAAAACAAATCCCTGAAACAATATTCACACGTTAACGTTACAGGTTATGCTTGCCTTTTACCTTCTTACCTATTCCAAATAGAAACCAAGAAAAATTGAATCAAAGATGAACCCAAGTAGCAAATTATCTTCGCAACCCTCAGGAGTTGTTACCACAGAAGGTATTTAGAGTCAAAGTGTTCCCCTCCCAAGCTAGTTCGGGGCTGTGGCACTGCCTATGCCCCATTATAACCCTCCTTCACCCTTCTTTACCTTTAGAGAACCCGGAATGGAAAGGTTGTAGTTTGGTCCCTCTGGTGTAATTGCGCCTGTAACACACAGATGTAACGGGGACTGAATTTGCCGTAGTTCCTTGTATCTCCCAGTTACCTATGAAAAGCCAAAGATATTGACAAATTAAGTCCTGCATCTCCTTTAGGTTCAGTGAAAGCTTACGTGAGAAACAAGCAACATCATCTTGCCTTTTTTATACACTATCAAGCATTTTTAATCAAGCATATTTATTATTTTTTTATCAAGCATAATTATTTTGCTGGATTTTGGGGAAAGGTGCTGTGGATTATATTCCTGTAATAGTTTTGTTCATTTATGAATCTGTGTTCTCTTGGATGTTTTAGAGAAACAAAACATATATATAAGTACAAATTAATGAATAATGCTATGGTTTTCTTTTTCACTTTTAACACTGCTATTGGCCAGCTGTTAAACAATCATTTGGATCTGGTGTAACTTAGATTTGGTATGTGCCAGTATTTTTAATCATCACCACCCTCTCCTTGGGCTCCAGGACCAAAACAGGGTGAAATTTTAGCAGTTTTCAATATATCTGAACATGAAAACCTCAAATAGTTCATAAAAAGCAGAAACAGCTCAAATGTTGGTGGTGAAAGTGAATGAAGTAACACTTGGCTATCAGAGTCCACGGGCACATTTCATACTTGTTGAAGAGAAGAGCAAGCCCCCAGACAACGATTTTATTTTCTATGATTCTTGAAATCCAGAGAAATTAGCTCCTTTGCATATTAAGTGCACAGCACAGGCTGAAATGATCTCCATGTTCCCTGGGTTATTCACATCAAAAGAGGCAGAAAAGTTCCACAAAACTGCTGAATGTTTGAATGTGTTGATCGAGCATGGCTGATACGGTACACCACTGGGATGATACTTAATTCTCCAATATGTGCTCAGTAAATATGTGGAGAGAGAGAACCATTTTATTCATCTTTTGTGTTAAGTATGAACTTCTAATGTAAAGATCTACCCAGAGAACAGAACATCACACGTGTTTGTTTTATAAAACTGTGTAAAGGTTTGCCAAAGCTGTCACAGTATGATAGCTTCAGCCATTTGTTTTCCCAGATCTTCACTTTGAGTGCTACTGCTTGCTTGGGAATGTGATTTTTATTTTTTTTTCTTTTAAGAACAGAATTTAATAAATGTAAAAACGTTGAGAGTTCTGAAGAGGTTATTTGCCCTAATTATAGTTTATTGCTGGCTGAAGCCAAAGTCTTTCTGCTGATGCACCTGTGCAACCCCAAGCCTGCAATTCTAGGCCTACAGCTCATGAAATGCAGCCTCACTGGTACAGCTTCACAGAACCACATTTTGACTAATCCTAAAACCAAAAGAAACAAATGTGTTAAATAAGCCTGTTGAAGTCGACAGCAGTCTGCATATGTCAAACCAACTCAGGAATTATCAGCAACTCCATACTGGGTTCATCCTTTTTCTGTAACATATTGCTGAGTGTTGTGACCCTGCAAATAAAAGCAATTTTGATTCTGCTAACAGCAGTTTTGATTCTGCTAATGTGATTGCTGGTTTGTTTTTTGGTTTGTGGGTTTTTTCGTTTTTGTTTTTGTTTTTTTTTTTAGCATAGCGCTAAATGCTAAAAGTGGCAGCGAAGGCACCGTAGCAGTAAAATTCATGCCCTCAAATCCCTGCACCCACATCATGTAGAGACAGATCTGCCCATGTGGAGCTTTGTGTAGGATCAGGGTCCAGTTTAGCCTCACATCCACCGATATCCCCAGTCCTCAAGCTGTTTTTCTCCTGGTTATTGACACATACAGGACGTAAGAGTCACATTCCTGATGTGACACTTGACTGAACCAGCAATGGTGACTTTCGGCTATCCTTCAAATGATAAATAACTGAGGCTACGTACTTTTTTTTTTTTTTTTTTTCCCCCACAGACCGGGTTTTCTGGTAACATTTAGTTTCAGTCAGATAGCTTAAAACAACCAGTTCTAGCCATGCTAACCAAAGAAGTGAGGGAGACCCCACATGCTGTGGGTATTCATGTGTCTATCAGTCATAATTTTAACCCATTACCCAATTATCGACCAAATTTGACAAAAAAGTAGCAATTCCAGTTCTATAGGTGAAAATACATGGCCGGGGAGAAGAGGGGGGCTGTGCCTGAGCTTTTCTGCATGAGAGGCAACATGAGTTCAACCCCTAGCCAGCCCCAGAGAAGGCACACATGAGAGCACCTGTGTGTGTGAGAGCGAGCGAGAGGCTGTGAAAGCCCCTCCGGTGGAAACAGCATCAGGGAGATCTGAAACCACATGAGACACCAGAGAACGAAGTCATAAGAACTAATATGGAAGAAACCAGTACTTACAAACATGTTGGTTTTTTGTTGGTTTTTTTTCCATTGTATGAACTAAGATTCAGAACGGTGCCTCGCTGTGCGCCCTTTACAGATAATTTCCGATACTCTGAATTGCATGTGTACACAAACTGGAAGCCAGAGTACTTACATGTGTGAGCAACCATCTCATCATCAGCAAGAGCAATGAACTAATCAAAGTTTTGTTCTTACAAAGTTTTATTTTTAAGCTGAACCTGTTCAGGTTCTCCCTGGCCACTTCATGGATGACCTGTGTCACAGGAGGCTGCAAAGCATCCTTGCCTCCTCTCCAAAGAGAGGAGGAAATCGTGGTTCTCACTGGAAAAAGAAAGTGATGGGGGAAAGCAGAGCCACAACTTGGGTTTCATGGGAGAAGGAGAGTGAGAAAGCAAGGACAGACTGTGTTACAGGAGTAACTGTAGCAGATTGCTGGCTTCAGCACACAGCAGTGACCCTCCCTATCTTGTAGCTCTGTGCTGGAAGATGTCCCCAGTGAGCTCCTCTGCATCTCACAGGACAAATGTCCTTTAGAAGGTGAAAAGAACTGAGGCAACCAAACACAACAGAGTAGCCTTGGCTCTCTGTGGTGCTGGAGACTCCTTCCAGGAGAGCTGCAGAAACACCTATTAGAGGTATCATGGAGGGAAAGAGAGAGTTCTTGCTGGCAGGAGACCTGGGTGACAAACAGGTCAGTAAGCCTTCCTTTGAGACTTAGAACCGTGGAATTCACAGAACATCTCAAGTTGGAAGGGACACATAAGGATCATCCCTCCCTTCCATTGAGCTATAATTACTTTCATTCCCTCCCAACTGAAAAAGAGAGACAAATAAAGCTTTTGTTTTGCACTTGTGACCCATGCATTCCTCTTTCATTCTGCAATAATGATTTAGAGCTCATCTCACTCACCTGAGCAATTCTTACTCATCTGTATGGCACAAGAATGAAAGTCTGCAGAATGAGGTTCGTAGTCAGAAATTCCACAGAAAGACTAAACATCCTGCAGAAGGAGGAAGGATTCTTCAGAAAGGCTTCAAAGCTGCCTTGGTCACGTATCTGTTGAAAAAGACCAAACAAAAGCGTCTCTTTCCCATGATATCTTGCCCCAAAAATCTTTCCAGCTACACAACAATAACTATATATAACTAGAAGCAAAATAAGGGAGTACTATTTACCAACTTAATTTCCTGAATAGCCCTTTGTTACGAGCTGTGTGAAACCTGCCAGTTAGATTAATTGATGATTTTGAAAACCAACAGAATGGGCAGAACTATACAGTAATTGTATATGTTACTGTAAGTATATAGGGAAAATCATGATTCTGTAACATAAGTTACATTGTTTAAGTAAGTCTTACACAGCCACACAAGTAATGTTTCACTGCAGACATTCTTAAGGTTAATCCATAATGTAACTAGCTGCAGTAAGAGAGAAGGGGGGGGGAAACCACCCAGTTTGTAGCTATCCTGTATCTCAGACAGGGTGATATAACATAACATATGTTTTAAAATGATAAAGACTTCCAAGAATAAGACGCAGTTTCCAGAAAAATATTCATACACGCCCAAACAAAGGCAAAATCCTGTAATAATTGAATAATTGCAGCTTTCTGTATCCAAGAAGTTAAAAAAAAAAAAATCCAGCCCAAACCAGCCCTTTTCAGTAGCTTAGCTGGTCAACACTCTTATACACAAAGCCCAGTGCTCTTCCCTAAAACCTAAGAATTAATCAGCATTATGTAAGAGATTTTTATAACACTCTAAAAATACATTGTGAATTCCTTTCCAGTGTCGGACTGAGAAGCTTTAAAGTACTGCCACCCCTTCATCCCCCTTTTTAACAAACACTGGATCTTCATTTCTGATACTAGAAACTTAAATTTGTCTCAGTATTTGTGCCTCGAATCTCATTAATTACAACACTGGCCTCATGAGATACAAGCGCTGCTGCTAAGAGCAGTGTTTGTGCTCAAAATGATTGGAGCAAGGGCACAGATACACAGATATTATACATGTATAAACACTTTAAGAAAGAATTAACAACACATAAAACTTCACAAGACTATTTGGATGTTTTTTCACGCTAATTTACCTGCTTACTAAGCAAACTTTCGTATCCACGTGATAACGTTTTGTTTGCGTGATCCTGATAGATAATACACCATGATGACAGCATTCCTGCCAAGGCACTGGTAACAGTAGCCTGGCAAATCTACAGCACAGTCCTGTGAGTACCTTTCTCCTTTTTGTGCTCTATTTTTCATATGCATAATAAATAAGTACTAGCACTATTTCTGTATTTTCCACTGAAGGATCTCTAAGCAAAATTACAAAGTCATCACCTGAATGTTAACGATAGCCTGGGAAGCAGACCTGTACAGAGCAGGAGTTTTAGCATTGCTACTGGGGGCAGAGCCATCCTCCGCAGGTCCCAGTGTCCATCCCTGCCCTCCCAAAGTTCCTTCCACTCAGCCCCAACTCACAGTTCGATCCATGAACGTGCAAGGCACTTGCAGTCCTTCAGACCAAAACAAATCACAAGAATGCAAATAAAGTACGTGAAGAACAATAAAAAAGCATTTTCAGCTGTGAAATTTTGTCATGGAATTCGTATCTAAGGATATTACAGCAATCCCATCCTTGCATTTTTAGGAAACACCTCAACATTGTCCTATCCCAGAACAAACCTTCTCCCCATACAAGGCTGACACAACACTGACATAGCCATCTTCTCAAAATAACCCCCCACCCTTCAAACCACAAACAAATCAATCAAAACTATTGAGGCAAACAAGAGATTTCACAGGGGAAAAAAACGAAGAAGATGCAAAGATGACTGCCTTGCCCAGGAATGATTTCACCATTGTTATCAGTTTCATGTGAAAGCCCTGCTGATACTACGGCTGATGGCTGGCTGTATGGAGCCTTGAAGGGGTGGTAGTCAAGGTATCTGATGGGATGATAACAGCTCTTCCACAAGGGCAAGCAAATATTTAGATGAAAATTGTGCTCTGCGTTACAATCATCCTGTCCCAAACTAAGTGTCAACTATCCTTTGTGTGTATCCTTTGTGTGTTTGCCCACGGATACCCATGTTCACTCTTTTCCTTCCCTCTGCAACTCTTTATTTTTTTTACATTTTACCCACAACCCAAGTCCTTCTTTGTTCTCTGTCCTGATTCTTTCTCTGCCTCTCTTTGTACCATTTTCTGCTACCTGTATTCACACTGAATGCAGTAAGTCACATGGCTAGCCTCCACCTGAACTCCATGGTACAAGACATGTAAGCATTTTTCTGTACGAATGAGGGAAAAATACCTCCCTTTGGTTCATGCTTCATTAACGTGCCCTTCTCAGATTCTCTCCCTATTCTCTCCCCCCTTTTATCACCCAAATTCACCCTGCATTGTTCTTGTAAATCTTTCTTTTATTTTGTCCTCACCCATGGCCATTTTCACCTCCTTCATTTCCTCCCTTATCTTCTCCTACCCTTCCCTTTTGCTCCTTCCTTGCTCATTTGCTCCTGCCATTTCCCACTTACTTTCTTCCCCTGCAATAACACGCAATTCCCCCCTCAACAGCCACCGTGCTCCTCGTTCATCCTCGGGTTTTGCTGGGGTAGCTGGGAAGTGAGTGGGAGCTTTGGTTCTGCCATGACGTGGACACCAGGATGACCACGGCCAGCGGGGCCGCATGGAAAGCACTTCTTTCACCAGACCCACTCCAACCACTCTCTCCCACCCACCTGTCAATAAAAAAAATAATAAATATATATAGAGAGAGGGGTGAAAGCCGGAGACGGGCAACCAACTTTGGCTCAAGACGGCTTTTGTTGCAGCAAGTTGCTCACCCCACACACCCCATGCCATGGTGGGGAATTGCACATCTGTAGCTACAGGCACCTTGGGCTCTTCAGCCCCTCAGTCCTTCCTCTTGTCTCTGCTCCTCCATCGTTAATTTGTTCCAGTCGCTCATCAAGACTCTCTTAATCTCCCCCCATCCCCCCACCCCCCAACAATTTCACCTCACCAACCATTTCCTTCATTCTAGCAGCTCAAAATCCAGAGGATTTTTTTTTTTTTTTCCCTTGCAGCTTCAACAATGATAAACAGATGCTGGTGGGCTGTTGCCTCGCACAACTTGCCTCCTCGCGTTTTGCGTGGCGCGGGTTGTTCCTGACCTTTGCCTGCTGACACAATAGGGAGATGGCTGTATTTGGCTGTATTTACAACCCCGGGCTGACCAAAAAAACGCCCTCCGAGGGCTTGACATTAAACACCAAGAGCCCCCTCGGTTTATACACGTGAGGGGGTTTACAAGGTTAGTCAGAGGTTTGTAAAGAGAAGCAGGTATCAACGTCTGCAAAATTTGGGATTATACTTTTAGCAGCAAGGGCCAAAAAAAAAAAAAATCCAGAGAACGGGGTACTTAAAAAAAAAAAAAAGGCAAGTAATAAATGGTCCCAGTGGTTGTCTTGTCCCAAAGCGGGGTGGTTTACCCAGTCTGCAAGACGCCAATGTACACACAGAGGGTAGATCAGCCGCTCTCTTCCCATCATCTCTCTGGAGCACACAATTATTTGCAATGTACCTTTAAAAAAATCAAAGCATTTCCTTGAATTTTCTTTAGACGGGTTTTTTTGGGGGTTGTTTTTTTGTTTTTTTTTTTTTTTTTTTTTTTTTTTTTTTTTTTTTTTAAGCTTTTCTAAGGCAGGCCGTGTTGGTTCAGGAACCGTTTCCCCCCCGCCTCCAGCCGCTGAGGGCCGGTCTGGGCTCCGGCCCGGGAGGCCCAAGTTGCCCTTGGGCTACCGGAGCGTGGCCGTGTCGCCGCGGGCGAGTCCCCTCCACACGGGGCTGGCCCTCCTGTGACGGGGAAGGTCCCCTCGGCCCGTCCTTGCTCTTTCGTTGCCCGGGGGGAAGGCTCTGACCCTGAGCGCTGGGGAAGGGGGGGCGGTGGGGTGACTAAGGCGAGCCCCGAGGGCGCTGAGGCGACTTGGGGGCGACGGGCAAGCGGGGGGTGGCTCTGAGGCCGGGGCGAGCCATGAGGGGGGCCGCGGCGACTGTGGGGCGGCGGGCAAGTGTGTGTGGAGGGTGGCTCTGAGGGGCTGGGGGGTGCCCTGCGGGGCGCTGAGGGAACGGGGAGCGCCTCTGAGGGGCTGAGGGGAACCCTGAGGGCGCTAAGGCGAGTGGGGGGCGGTGGGCAACTGTGTGCGTGGGGTGGCTCTGAGGGGCTGAGGCGAGTGGGGGCCGGCGGGCAGGGTGGGGGGGTGGGTCTGAGGGGGCGGGGCGAG